ATGAAGGAATAAGCAACGAAATCTCTGATATGGTAAAAGTCCAAAAGAGGAAATCATAATGAAGAAAGTGGATTGAGGGTCCCTCTCGTTGAAAGTGTTGAAGAGGACCAACTACACTCAAATGTAAATGATGCTCTGCCAAAAAAAATTTGGATCATCATCATCATCACATGGCGTCAACATCTTTATGGTTCCAACTTTTGTGTCGCATAAGATAAGATGGACCTATAGATGCTTCTTTACTGTTCATCCATGGTGTTTAATTATTAATTAATCAATTATTTGTCTGTTCTTAATCACAATCCTTACCTTCTCATGGTCGGTTAGCGACATGGCTTAACCTGCAGACAACAAGTGTTGTCACTTTGAGTCTGCTAATTCAAACTCGTGAATTATACAATTAGGCACCTAATTCAACTTTTTGACGAATCAGCACACAAATATACATCTTAACATGTGACAAGGAAACTAATTGCTACACAACATGACCCTTTTTCTGAATTACGCACAGCAAAAATAGAAAAAGGTTGTATGGTCTGATATTACCATACATTGCTTGTCTACTTGATGTTTCATGCACAAAATACTAACAATTATTTTGAGAGGATCAATTCCTGTTCCATTACAAACGTGCAGGCTTCAGAAGCGGACAACTAAATTGTACAGTTTGAGGCTGATGGGCAAAGGAGTCAAACTAATCATAGGTCCTGTGTCTGTCTATGGGATGTAAATTCCATCTGGTACTTAGCTACAATGGAGATTCTGTACAAAAAAGGGCTGTTCCAGACAAAGATGCATGGAGAATGAAGTATTTTGGCAGAATCCCAGAAGAGACAATCAAGGGAGGTCCATGAAGTTGTTGTTGTTCCAATTGTGTGTGTGTGTGTGTGTGTGAAAACGCAAATACAGACACAACGAGACAAAATACAGAAAAAGGTTGAATCTGATATTGGGATCAGATTAAGGAAGAGGGGTGAAATTGGAAAGAGAACTAAATAAGTAGGGAAAGGAGAAAATAAGGACGTGGTATATATAACGGAGATAGTTCTAAAAATTGGATTGATTTATTCAGTTAAATCGGTATATTATTAAACTAGTGATTTAAATATTCTTTCAATAAAATGCCTTTTCAATTTTCAATTTGATCACAGCGTAATTATTAATTCTTCAATTAATATTTTAACTGGTTTAGTGAGTGGTTCAATTTTCAATGATTGAGAATAGAAAAGACTTGATATGAGGAAAGACTTAAGTTGAAGGGTGTTTTAGAGATAGATTGCGACGCAATATCAATATTTCCAAATAGAAATACATTTACAAGTGTAGAGTAAAGTAATGGGGTGCGGTAGCTAGTAAGTAGTGGCTTTGGAGACATACATTAGAGTTGGACCAAAATAGACATCTAATTCAACTCTATGATTGTCGTGTTGGTGTTGAGGAAAATGATCCTCCTACGTGTCAAGTGTTCGAACCACCGACGTTGAAAGAGGAGCATGCTTATTGCTCACTTCTTGCCCTTCCTTAAGCTCCTATACTGTGTTTTTATTATACATTATTTTTAATATATTTTATTAAAATTAAGAAAAATTTTAAAATTTATTAACTTTATTTAAAAATTTCACAAAATTTTAACTCTGATGATATATTAAATATATATATATATTAATAATATATTTTATCTCATTAATATTTAATGTAAAATAAAATAAAAATTATAATAAAAAATTAATGATGTAACTTAAAAATATTATTATAAAAAATTCTTATCTCACTGCTTTATAAATAAGGTTGAAAAAAAAATATAATTGCTATATAATTTATAAATAAAGAGAGAACAATTTGGTGCATTTAAAAACCGGAATAGGTTGGGGGCAGATGAGATTGAAAGACGATGCATCCACCTACCTAACGAATGCCGAATTATGAGGACATTGGGATGAGTTAATTTATTTTGATTGAATGCTCCCCATTTATTAAGTTACAGTTGACTCTATTCTTTGAATATTCTGCATTTCCACTTGAGGATAGTACTTATTTCCCCTTGTGCATTCATTTCTTTCCTCGATCTCTGAAATAAGCAATCTTGTTATTTTATCACATATTGTTCCATTATTCAAACCTCAATTATCAGGTTGATTGGGATAAATTTTTGGATAGATTTTATATATATGATCCATCTCATAAAAAAATATAATATTTAAATAATATTAAATATAAATTAATTCTAACATTAATAATAATAAAAAATGTAAAAAACTAAATAAAAATTCGATTATAATAATATTGTTATGAACAACAATGATATACAAAACTTTTTTTATTGAATTAATAGAATTTTATTAAATAAATTGTGGATGATGTGATGTATTAAGAATTTTTTTTCTGAGAGGCTACATTTTCATATTGCACCGTACTATCTGATCAAGAGTTATAAATTATCATTGATGAAAATTAATTAGCTGTCGGGAATCTTAAATACGATGTCAACCTTGTAACTTACGCTTAAGTTGTGTCATGTGGTTTGACCTACTGCTACTAATTAACAACGTCCTCTTCTTCGGACTTTTTCCCCCGTCCTACCGGGTGAAGAAGAAATAGACCTGACCAATTATTTTTGTCCTTTTAAAAAATAAAATTATTAAATATATTTGATAAGATTTATTAACATACAAGATTCTGTTCAAAATATTTTATAATTTAAGGTGGGGTGGTCTTTGTATTTCACTCTAAGCATTTTCTTAATATTTTAAAAAGATATTAATCTCTTAATTAGATGGAAGACTAATCTTAGTTCAGTCAAGAATATAACAAGTCAAAATAATCTTTGAGTGAATTAATATTAAAAAATTTAAATTATCGTCCCTTCTTACGGTTCAAATGACAATTATTCACTTACCATTGACATAAAATATATATGATGAACCATTCATTTTACACTAAATTTCAATTTCAATGTATTGAAAACCAAATGGATAATTAAATCATTCAAGATACTAGTTAAAGGATTAATGATTAATAAAATTATAGTTGAACAATATCAAATATAAACAAAACATTTTATTAAATTGACCGGTTGACCTGATTTTTAATATTATAATAATTTTGATAAGCAAAGTTTGTAGATTATGATGGAAGAGTCTGCTTCGATCAAGTGAAAAATTGAATAATGCTATGCCAACCTTTTTTTTAAAAAAAATTGATGTTTTATAATATCAATATAGAAATAACATTAAGAACGCGAACAACTTTAAAAAAATAAATTACTTAAAAATATTGAAGAACCATTCTACTTGGTAATGAATGATTGAAAATTCTACCTAGATTTGGTTGCTGATCTTATTGTTTAATCAAAGGGTGAAAATTCATTTCATGACGAAATGAATGATCTTTAGGCCCCCCCCCCCAACAAAAAAAAAAAAAGCATGAGATCATAAACTTCTTGTTAACATGTGAGTTTCGCAGCATTAACATTTAACCGCAAATATGATATAGTACTTTCTCATTTTTCTTAATGGTGTGTTTGGATTAATAAGGATTTAAACTTGGATCAAATCTTCCATCACAAAAAATTATGAATTTGAATTTACTTCAAATCCAAATTCATTTTAAATTATCAATTTTTTTGTAATTTTAAATTTTCTCTACACTCTAATAATTTAAAATTTTAATTACTTTAAACTTCTTGTTCTCTTCACATTATTATTATTGATACTTTTATAACTCTCAAATCTTTTCTTATTTTTTATTGATTAAAAATAGAGATAAACTCATTATTTTTAATTTTAATTTTTTTTTTGTCACTATTAGTTCATTTATCTTCTTCATTTGGAAATTTTAAACCATCCAAAAAAATTTAAATATATAAATTTTAAATGTGAGATTTAAAATATAAGATTTTAAATATGAAATCAAAATCAAAATCATTCAATTCATGATGTTACCTAATATAAGTTCCAATTTTAAAAAAACACACAAATTAAGAAAATGCTACTAAAAAATAAATAATTGCAAAAATATTACTGATATTTCCATTAGAGAAACTGAATTATTAAATATCAGGCATGGGATAGGTAATTTAATTTTTTTATAAGAGATATATTTAAAAAAATATATTGATTACAATTTAAAAGTTTTATTTAAAGACAAAAAATTAAAATTATAACTTATATTAAGAAACAAAGGAAGTACATCAAGCTAGCACATTAACGAAACCATAACACTTTCCAAGTGCACATTTCCTTAAATAATTTCACCATTCTGAACTTTTTTTATTATTTTTTAGATATCAAGTTGTCATTCGTCCGACAATAAAAACGAATCTTCCTTGAGACATGAAATTCGATTTGTGCTTAACCAATTTTTTTGGAGGAAGACCTCCAATTGATACTCGATCGTATCACATGACACTATTTCATTATTTGTTGTGGTCAAAATCCAGTACGCACATGTACACACACTGTTCCATATTATTGCGCTTCAATTTCACGAATAGTGGTAATCACAGGAAAAATACAATAATAAGATTTTGTAACAAAATTGACAGTGTGAGAATCTGAGGTCTTCTTTTTGTACTTTTCTTTTTAACGCTAAAACTCGATAGAAATGGAGGCACGTGAATGTGGCGGGAAGGGATAATGGAGCGCCCTGGTTCGCCCATTCATAATGTGCGTCACAAAAATACACAAAATAAAATCTCATACCCATTTTGTGGGGTCCTCTTCAATATTCATATCACTCATCCTTCAAATTATTATCATCACTCCATAAACAATCTAATAATTCCCTTCTTAATCCTTATTTATTACATGTATTAAGTATTAACCTACCAGGTTCTCTTTCATTTATATATGCATGACGCTGCACCTGATAATATAATGCCACTTGCTCTCTCCTTGTTACCTGAATACAGCTTCGCTGGTTTCCTCCTGTATCATCACCTATTTTTCACTCTACTGGATTCATTTTTTATTCACTTTTTCCAAGTGATCAAACCTTGTTTCAAATTTTCATTAACCTATTTATTTACTTTTCGAATCAAGTTAATTCTGGATTAAGTACAAGTAGAAGCTTCTACTTCACTTTTATAATGGAATGGGAAACCATGTGTCGTGTGTTTCTTCAAGACTGTTACAATTACAAAGGAAACATGACAGGGAAATAAATACGCTGTTCAGATCTACTATGCTGATCCTATTTCCCTCGGCTTCACCGTCTTTTCTCTGAAAATATCTCTCTGGGTTTTGACCGGATTTCTTCATCCGTTGCGTGATCTCATGTTTGTCTCCCTGTTCTGCTTCTTACCCCTGTTTTGCGCGAATGACTTGACCGATTTCGTCTGCATTGAATCCTCATCTTTTGAGCCTCTCTCCGTATTTGCTTGAGTCGGTGGAGCGGTGAAGGGAGCCGACATGTTTCGTTCCACCAGAAGGAGGAGCGAGAAGCTCAAGATCAAAGCTGTTTTCAAACTCCACTTTCATGCCACTCAGGTTATCTTCGCTTCCATTGCCTTTGCTTCAAGATTAATTGAACTTACTTCGTTTTCATTCCTTTTTCTGGGCCTCTCGTTAGTTGGGATTGACCACTGTTTAGTTTGAACCGACATTGAGTTCTCTTCAAGATTAATCATAATCGCTCGCAACTACTACTAGTATTTAGCTCAATCCCTTCTGGTGATTCCGTCTGGGTTCTGTTTTGCTGCAGACCAAAGATACCAGGGCCTTGTTTTACTATCAGTTTTTTTCCCCTGAATTTTTACGATCAGCATTATATAGAAAAACGGAAAACAAGTTCGTTGTACCTTCTTCATTTTCTCGACAACTAAAGTCGGCACGTGGGATTCGATGGTGTGTGCAATGCGGATTAATTTGAGAATTTAAATGGTGAATTAAGATATCTTGTATTACAATCTCAGGTGCTGCAATCTGGGGTAGATGCATTGGCAATATCTTTAATTCCGGTGGACGTGGGAAAGCCAACTGCGAGATTAGAGAACGCAACAGTTCGAGACGGAATTTGTAGATGGGAGACTCCGGTCTACGAAACAGTCAAATTTATTCAGGAGCCCAAGACTGGGAAGATCAATGACAAAATTTATCATTTTGTAGTTTCAACGGTGTGAAATTTCTTTCCTCACCCTTCAACTGTGAAGATTTAAGCAGCTGACATTTTTCAACTGGTTGCTAATGTGTGAATGCGATCTACTTTCTGCGTGTAGGGATTAACAAAAACTGGTTCAATCGGCGAAGTTTCTATTAATTTCGCTGATTTTGCTAAAGCCATGACCCCCTCCTCTGTATCTCTTCCTCTCAAGAATTCTCGTTGTGGTACCGTTTTGCATGTTAGTACCTACTTTCCTCCCTCTCTTGGAATTTCTGTTTGTTAGAGATGGTGTTGCATGAAAATTAATGGAAACCTCACGAATCCTTGAGACAGAAAATTCGCTGCATTGTTGAAATGTAAATTCCAATGAAACTAAATCTGTTGCTCAATGGACAGGTGTCAATTCAGAGGCTACATGAAAATGGGGACGCAGATCAAAGGTATAAGAATTATCGTGTTAATGTCTGCTTTAATGGTTTATAGTTGTACTTCGCCGAACCCAGCAGGTTTTGATGATGGAGACCTTTATTGTCCAATAACATTGGCAGGGAGGACGAAGTAAGTGAAGATGTCAAAATTGAATCCCATGAGAGAAGCTTAAGGACCTATCTCAACAATGGGGATACAAATAAAAGCGCTGCGATGAATTCTGCCGAAGTAAGGTTTCTCTCATTTTAGCTGGAAATTGCCTTCCGCTTCCTTTATGTCCCATTACATGTCTAAATTTCCATGATGTATAAAATCAGCAATGATATCCGATGTTCATAATTTCCAGTGTTCTTTTCTGGCAGATGAAAATTTTAAAATTATTAAATTTCATCTTTCTGTGTTTCGCAGGACGTATCTGCCGAAGCAATGATCCACAGAGCTGAATTGAGTGCTGATTGCAGGACATCCAGCGAATCCGACCTTACATTGTCCAGTTCTGATGGCAGCTCTGGACTCGATACTCCCCGACAACTTGGACTGAGAAATACTAACAATATCCACCACAACCCCAATGCATCGCCATTAACAGCATCAATGTATGAGAGATCACATTGGGACTGGTCAGCTAGTTGGGACCATGGTTTGAGCACAGATGGTTCGCCAAATGGTTCTCACGATGCCCTTCATAAGGAAAGATCCCAACACGCGTCGGATTTGGAGATTGAAAGACTCAAGTCTGAACTTGCCTCTTCGGCTAGGCAGCTCGATATGTCTGACTTGGAACTACAGACTCTTCGGAAGCAAATTGTAAAAGAAAGCAAAAGAGGGCAAGACCTCTCTAAGGAAATTATTAGCTTAAAAGAGGAAAGAGATGCTCTCAAGGCAGAGTGTGACAACCTCAGGTCACTTCACAAACGTATGGATGAGGCTAAATTGAGGAACAGAACACAATTGGAAGGTCGTGATCTGCGCACTCTTGTTGAAGAAATTCGACAAGAACTGAGTTATGAAAAGGACCTCAATGCCAATCTTCGATTGCAGTTGCAGAAGACGCAGGAATCAAATGCTGAATTGGTTCTTGCTGTACAAGACCTGGATCAAATGTTGGAGAAGAAAAATATGGAGATCAACAACCTTTCCAATAAGATTGAGCTGAGCAGAAATTCCCACGAGTTAAAGGGCAAACTCTCCAGACGTGTAACAGATGACGATGAAGGTCAGAAAGTATTGGAGGAGATTGTTAAAGAGCAAAGCAATTCCAAGGAGTCACAGTTACTTGAGCAAAAAATTTTAGAGCTGTATGGTGAAATAGATATGCATAAGAGAGACAAAGATGAGTTAGAGATGCAGATGGAGCAGCTTGCACTTGACTACGAAATATTGAAACAGGAAAACCATGAGATTGCATGTAAGTTGGAGCAGAGTCAACTGCAAGAACAATTGAAGCAATACGATAGCTCTTCTCTTCCTGATGCTGTGAATGACCTTGAAACACATATTGAGGGCCTCGAAAGTGAACTGAAGGTACAGTCTCAAGAATTATCAGATTCTCTGGCAACTGTTAAGGAACTTGAAATCCATATCAGAAGACTAGAGGAAGACCTAGAGAAACAATCACGAGGATTTGAAGCTGATTTAGAAGCTGTGACACGTGACAAAGTTGACCAGGAGCAAAGAGCCATCCGAGCGGAGGAAGCTTTGAGAAAGACCAGATTGAAAAATGCTAATGCTGCTGTGAGGCTCCAAGAGGAATTTAAAAGGCTCTCAATGCAAATGGCCTCTACATTTGATGCAAATGAGAAGGCTACAATGACAGCTTATGCAGAGGCAAGTGAACTGCGTGCACAGAAAAACCTTTTGGATGAAATGCTACATAAAGTAAAGGAAGAGCTTCAGTCAGTTAAAGGTGATTATGAGGTAAAACTGAATGATCTCTCCAATCAAGTAGAATCAATGGCCACCCAGATACACCAAATGTTAACGGAAATTGAGGAAAAATCCAAGCAGCTTGAAAAACAGAAGAATCATGAGGAGCAAATTTATAGGGATTTCTCCCAGGAGATCCAGACCTTAAAACTTGAGAATGAAAGGCTGAAGGGGGAGGTAATGTACTACTCTGAGCATGCAGAGCAGAAAGAAAGTCTTGGAACTGAGTTGGAACTTATGAAGAAATCAGTAGAGGAATCTGAGACTCTGTTGAAGAGAGGAAGAGTAGAAAGAAATGAGCTGGTGAGTACAATTGCTTTACTGAAGAAGGAAGTGGAGAAGACAATTGAAGATCTAAATAGGATGAGACATGTGAAGGATGAAAAAGAGACAATGGCTAGGACATTACAATCAGAGTTGGAAGCAGTTAGAGATCAGTGCAGTGACTTGAAACATGCTCTTCACGAGGATGAGGCAGAAAAACAAAAACTGAGAAAGCAAATTTTCCAGTTGAAGGGTGAACTAAAGAAGAAGGAAGATTCAGTGACCAACATTGAAAAGAAGTTGAAGGATACTAATGGACACCAGCAACTTTCGGCCACTGCAAAGAACAAAAAATCTGCTTCAATTCATCAGAATTCAAAAGAAATTGCAGCTCTGAGGGAAAGAATGAAAATGCTTGAGGTAATTTTAACCATTATTGATCCCTCTTTTTTTTTATTTGGATAACACGAAATACCAATGGATATTGAGACGGGATGATGACAAAAGGAGTATTTTTTGACAGGGCCAGATAAAATCGAAGGAAACGGCATTGGAAGCCTCTACAAGTTCATTTTTGCAGAAGGAAAAGGAACTTCAAAGCAAAATTGAGGAGTTGGAGGGCAGAGTGGCAGAATTCAATCAGAGCAGTGCTTTGCAAAAGGTTACACCGCTTTCTATATTGCAGCACGTCACCATTTGTGAACTGATTTAAGCCCCTTGGCCGTTGTCTTGCTCAAAGTGTCATTCCATTTTTCTTCCATCGAATTTTATTTTGCTGTTGGTTTCTCTAATTTTGTTTATGATGCTGTAGAACTGTATATATACAAGATATTTACAATGGGATATCCTTCAAGCAGGTTGCTGAGGATCAAAGTATTACTCCTTCAACAGTTGGAGTAGGGGATACAGCGGAACACCTCAATGGTGCCACGTGTACATCTCAAGAAAATTGGTGAGTTTAGGGCTTGTTTTGTTTGTTGTTTAATGCATGAGCCTTTTTTCCTCCCTTGTCCACGTTGCTATAGTACCTTGTCATGTTATGAATTTAAGCTATTGAGTTATTTGTTGATTGATTTTTCTTTTTCTCCATGGCAGCAATGTAAATTTGTCAGAGAAAGAAGGAAAAGCCTCAACGGATGATAAAGGGGACAGTAATGTTTCTGAAATATTAGCGGAACTAGCATCACTGAAGGAAAGAAACAGATCAATGGAAAGTGAATTAAAGGAGATGCAGGAGAGATACACAGAAATGAGTCTGAGATTTGCGGAAGTAGAAGGTGAAAGACAAAAACTCGTTATGACAGTGAGGAACCTAAGGATTGCATATAAGGTCAAATAAACTATTCCTGATATATATGTCGAAGTCTGCAGTGTATAGTGTATAGTTTGAGCAGGAGTGCGCGGTGCAGCTAGCAGTGGATCACAAGTTAATCAATAAATTAATATCTATACTGTCTACTGGCAACGTAAATGTATTTTACTATTCTTCTTCCCCCTTTTTAGCCTTGTTTTTGCTTGTAATTGCCAAAAAAGCCCCATTCGGTACAATTTTACAAATTTTTCTTGGAAATTAGTGATGATTAAATGTCACTCAGTTTCTTGTGGTGCTCCGTGTCGTGTATTCTGGTAGAAACCTTGTGCCATGTACTTCTTTTTTTTTTTCGTTTGGCTTTTATTTACAGATTATTTTATTGTAAAAACATGCCCTCAAAATATGATTAAGCACATTAACAGTATTTTGGGAGAAAAAAACTCCCCGGCGGTGGCTCATTCAGATTCAGTTTAGTTACGGTTCGCTTACCTATTTACCGGCTTCCTTCTTCTTCTTCTTCTTTTTAAGTCACTGCACATAATAAACCGCAGACGTGTGAAAAAAAAAAAGAAGCTTTTTCTGGGACAAAGAAGGTTAATGTACATAATAGGGGAGATCTTTAATTCCCACGAAATAAAAGCAAGATGTTAAATAAATAAATAATAGATAGCGATGGTAAGTAGAATAAAATTTGTAAACAGAAATATTTTGCAGGTCATGGTAAAAGATTGTCAATTATTTAATTTGATTGGTCAGATGAGACTGCTACGCCTAACTAAATCATAAAATAATAATAATAATAATAATAATAATAATAAAAAAGGGGGATGCCACTTTCAATTTCGAATTGAGTTACTTACTCAATAGTAGATTATGCAAATTCTCAGCCGAAATGCGTTGCACGGGCGGAGCAGACAAGGGAAAGGGATCCGTCTTCGTGCTCGGCTGCTCATCAGGAAAAAATCTGGGCCATTCACATTTAATTTGGATGGCCCAGATTTGTTTAATTTTAATTTTTTATTTATAAAATAAAAATTTAATTTTTTTATAAATATATTCATTATCAATCTCTCAAATACCGATTTAATTTATATGTATTCTGGACAGTTTAGATTCAATATTAAATTTTTATTTGCAAGGTTTAGATTTAAATTTTTATTTTTTATTTTTATTTTATATTTATTAAAATAAAAATTATTAAAAAAATTTATATTGAATCTATTTTGTCTAGAGTACATCTAAATAATTAATTTATAAAAATTATAATATTAAATTAAACCACCTAAAATCCTAGATTAAATTAGTACTGTCCAGATTGATAATGAAAATATTTATAAAAAAATTTACAATTTTTTTTCATAAAATATAAAATTAAAATTAAATTTGAAAAAATCTGGGCTATCTAGATTTAATCAGGATGGCCCATATTTTTTCTAGGTGATGAGCATCTCGATGTTCAACAAGCTGTTGAACACTAAAGATGGATCTACAGACAAGAGTTGTTGAGAATATATGCATTAATTAAGAATCATAATTATAATCAATGACTGAGTTAATTTCACATGATTATTTTTTTAGATTACTCTTCTAATCACAACATGAGGCATTTTCTAAAAACTAAAACTTTACTTGATCCAAAATATAGGGGATTAGATCTACTTTTACCCCTACTTTGTTTGTTACTTTTTTACATAAATCATACATTAAAATTTTGATTATTTTTATGAAGGTTTCTATATAGAGTATTTGATAAGAGTATAAATGAAAAGATATGAATATTTTTATGAATTTAAGGCTTCAATTAATATTGTTCGTGAATTATGAATTAATTAACTATAACTTATATTATAGTTCAGAAGGATATATATATATATATATATATTTGTATGTATATATGTATATGATTATATATCTTCTTAATTAGTGAGTTTGTACATGAGTTTTCTTTTCTTTCTTTCTTTTTTTATATTATTGTTTTGGTCTGAAATGCGTGCACGAGTTCAAACTGCTGTAGTCTACTAAGGGTCCGTTGGAGGTGCTCATCAATAAAAAAAATCAATTTTAATTTTAAATTTATATTTATTAAAATAAAAATTTATATTTTTTTATAAATATGTTCATCATCAATCTAGATAATAATGGTATAATTTATGTTATCTAATTTAATATTATAATTTTTTTAAATTGATCATCTACATGTACTCTGAACAATCCAGATATAATATTAAATTGTTACCTACAAGGTTTAGTTTTAAAGTTTTTAATTTTTGTTTTGATGAATACAATATTAAAAAAATAAAACATATAATCTTTTAACTATAACTTTTGTAAATATGGACTTTATAAAATACATCTGGATAGCAATATATAAAAAATATAAAATTTTAATATTAAATTAGACTCTCTAAATTAAATATAAACTAGATTAGTTATGAAAAGATTCATCAAAACTTTTTTATAAATTTTTATTTTAAAAAAATATAAAATAAAAATATTAAATTAATTCTTTAAATTTGAACCATCTATTAAGTTAAAAAGTTAAATGGTATAAATTGCATCACCTTGGTAAGCGTAGGTCATGAGCACCTAAGATGGATCCGGTCTACTAAAGGGACGGAAAAAGGAAGGGGAATAAAAATCCTCCATATCTCCAAACTAAAACCCCAAAAAAGACTACATGTTAATAGTCCACAGTCCTTTGTTGTTAACATTCCTTTGTTTCTGGCGCTGTGATAATATTGATTCAAAATAAAATTGGAAAAATAATTTTTGCAGGTAGGGGACTGGTATAACATTTTGAGCTTTGACTATCAAGGGAGTGGCAATATGTGGAATGACAATTCTGATAATAACTCAACTAATTAATTTCCAAAAAAGTGGGGAGAAATTCAAGGAGAGTTTTAGGTGCGGCTGCTGATAAATAATTGTTGAATCATTTTCTAACAAAGACCTTGAAGAAAAGTGAACAAATTAATCTTGTTAATGCTTTTTATGCCAATATGAAGAAATAACAACTATACTACTCATCATGTGAATCTCACGCTTTTCTTTAAGTAGCTTGTCCCTACTGTAGAGTGAAGACAAATCGTCTTCTAATATTATCTAAAGCGCCTTAAATAGTTGCACTTAGCGGGTAATGAAACTTTTATATTCCAAACCATCATCATCATCATCATCATCATCATCATATTTTTTAACAAATTTCATAATTGATTTTTAATCTCAAACCAAACAGATTCTACTAGATGAAGAAAGATGGCTTTTTTGACATGCTTAATTAGTTTTGACTAATTGACTTGTTACAGGAACCAGTCAAAAATGTATGCCTATCACCATATAACAAATGCAGAAATATCAAATTAAAGTCTTCATTAATTCCCTATAAAGATTTTGAATTAAACGCCACTAACAATCAAGTGTACGTTCGTGTGTTTGGTTCACCAATAGTATATGCCTATATATATATGTGTGTGCATATATGTGTATGTATTGCGCTGCTGCGCCTCGCCTGGAAAAATTTAAAGCATCAAAGAGAGAATTTAGTATACTAGAGCGAGTCTTCTTCTTCCCTCAATAATCTATACAAAACTGGCAGAGAATTAGAATTAAAAAATGATGATGGATCTGATATGCAACCAAAAGGAATGAGATTAATTACGTTGTCTACATTCTGCGGCGGATTAATCCGTACACCATCACGAATGCCATAATGAGTGAATGATCCGTATTGGCCTCCACTTGCATCGTCACCACATCATCACCCAGCACTACACCTGACCACGATTCCTTCTGCTTCACCTGTTAATCCCACATTACTTATTAATTTCAACTTATATTCAACACTGATCTTAATTAAACACTATATATCCTCTGAAATTGGAAGGAAAGAGAACCAACCAAACACTTACCTCTGCAACAATTTGCCCTTCCATGTTCATTATCCTAAACTCTGCAGATTTACCCCCCATTCCTACGATCCAGTACTTCTGCTTCCCTACTCTCATTTCACACTCTCCTTTTCCCTTTATCATCATCTTGTGATATCTTTTCACTTGGAACCACCTCTCCTCCTTCATTGATCTGCTGTTGCTTCTGAACCCTTCCCAGCACCCAAACCCTAGTTTTCTCTGCAACACCCTTCACCACTGCTTGAGATCATGCATGTTTAAAGCAATAATGAAGATCAATATACAAGTATAGTTATTTAGTTACCTTGTGGATGGTGCACAGTACTGTGCCCTGGAGATCCATGAGGTCGACTTCTCTGGTACCCTTGGTGTCATAGTTATCGACCCGATACACGATGTCGCCGTCGGAGTTGTAGACGGTGCAGCCATTGGAGTGGAACACCAGCGATTTCATCCATACTGTGTATGTTTCTCTTTTGTTGCTCATCTCGCCACTCGAATTGGGTTCCTCGTCAAGCCGATGATCATTCGGGTGAATCTTCCCCATGTTAATTGCTCGCTTCTCTTCTCACTCCTTGCCCACTTATTTGTTTTCTGCAGAGATAGATCAGATGGAAGACAAGAGTGGATTAGCTTATTTATAGTAATATGTCTGCCACTTTAATTTGGCGTTGCATGTCTTGGAACACCATTTTAGAATATTCAATATTATTTAAACTAGTCGTTGAATACTTTGCTGCCTTAATTATGATTAATTAATTCAAATCCTAGTTCAGTTTGGGTGTCGTATCAGCTATCACTTATCCTAGGAAACTTGCTCTGATCTGCTCCACCTCATTCGGTGAAGTGCGGTCCACCCTGATGATGGTGTCGGGTTCAATGTCAGTCAAAACACACATGTACTGGTTTACTCAATCCCACTGTTCTCACCCAATCAAGAAAAATTTTAAAGGGCATTAATTTGTTTAAATTTAATAAGTTTTAAACTTTACTTCTTCTATTTTCATTTGTCGGAGAAAAAAAACTAATCACATAATTTAACAAAATTAATTAATTATAGTAATTGTGTCTAAAAATAAAAAAATTGGACTACAATACCATTTATTAATTATGTCAATCAAGATTTCATTAATTATTTTTTATGATTATGAATGATAAAATTATAAGAGGTAATTTAAAAATTTTACAATAAATACCTATTAAAAATATAATTTTGCTTATATAAAAAAAATTAAAAACGATAATTTCTCTTATAAATAGAAATGGAGGGAGTACTTCTATTAAATATAAATACTTTAAAAATAGAATACCTTAACACTTAATAGCTTTTCAAGAATTAATAAAGAAAAAAGGGTATATAAAAATGAGCACAATAATCATTTGAATTATTTTATAAAGGGGATCAAAATAAATATTTTTTATCTGCCCCATGAATACTTAAATATATAGGATCAAAGGAATACATATCATGAGGTATTCTCTCATATCTTATTTACAAATCATTTGTAACTATCTTACCAAAACCAATTTGAGATAATTAAATTATTAGTTTCATCTAAAAACAGGAAATTTTTCAATTAACTTTTATTATATGCACTATCTTTAAAAATATTTTTTCTCTTGTATGTAAATATCTTACTCTCTAGTCTCTATTCATTAAAAGGCGTGAAAGGGTAAGATTAGAAAAAGTAATTAATTATCCACATTTTTATACAAATGACTTATAAAAAATATCATAATAAATTACGTAATTCTAAAATGTAACTAATTATATAATGTCAGAAGGAGTATTGTTTAGAACTATGAAACCGGTTTTAGTGCTTGGCAAGCTACTAAGCACCAATGTGTTCATCACCAAAAAAATTTAGACCATTCAAATTTTTAATTTTAATTATAATTATAATTTTACTTTTATAAAAATAAAATTTATAAATTTTTTTGATAAATATATTTATTATCAATCTAGATAGGATTGATTGAATTTGGATGGTTTAATTTAATATTATAATTTTTATAAATTAACTATTTAAATATACTCTGAATAGTTCAAATTCAATATCAAATTTTTATTTGCAAGGTCTAGATTTAAAATTTTTATTTTATATTTATTAAAATAAAAAATTATTAAAAAATTTAATATTGAATCTGTCTTGTCTAGAGTACATCCAAATATTCAGTGTATGAAAATTATAATATTAAATTGAACAATTCAAAATCTTGGATTGAATAAGTATTGTTTAGATTGATGAATATATTTATTAAAAAAATTATAAATTCTTTTATAAAATTAAAATTAAAATTAAAAAAATTTGGACCATCCAAATTAAAAGTTTGAATGTCCGAGATCCTCTTTTGTGGTGAGCATGTCGGAAACCGGATTCATAGAACTACTAGGAGATATGGCAAAGAAGTGCACGAAGTGGCCATGTCCCATTAAATTAAACACGTTTATGGCATTGGACTAGTATTGTACTATTGAGCGTGCTTGTCTCCAGAGACATTGCATCACTTTCTGCTTCTCATCTTTGGTCTTCCTCAAATCATCAGCATTCATAAGACCGTTTAATTATCAATGCTCCTGTTCGTGGGCCGCGTCAGTGGGACAGCCGCGAAACACAATGCTGGTGACGCGCATACTCCACACACACACACACGTGTAATATTGTTAAAAACAACGTTTACTCCTCAAGATCTTCATTGTTTATATATATATATATATATATATATCATAAACAAACAATGATCACTATAATTTGCTTTTCTAACAAACACAACGACCTAATATTAGCCTAAACGACATGAATCAATATAAAAAAGGTTCTAAATTAAATACGAAACTTATTTACCTCGTATATAAAGGACCTATATACGGGAAATATTAACTAATTATTTACTTCCTAAAGAGACAGACAGTAAAGTTATCTTATTCAAGACAATGTGATGGCATGGCTAAAATTTCTTTCTTGAACCTGTGACTTCTTATTTTAAAACCTTATATTAATTTGAAACGTTCGATCTTACATCGGCATCACAAATCACATCCACATGAGAATAGCAGATTTTTCTATTTCCAATGTACGTTCTATATCCCTAAAATTTATGCATATATTGATCTGAATTTACCGTTTCTTAATTAAAATCGTCTCAATTAATGTAGGCATGCGTTAACAAGATATATATCGCACAAGCATCCAACATAAATATCCACGAGAATCACAACATGCACATGTCTAAATATTCTATGCACGTGCATAGCGAAAAAGAAGAAAAGAAACAATTATACAAGCGCACGCACCGGCCAGCGTTATGCACCTAATAAATATTCTGTCGATGTAATAGACTCAGAGAGTGCAAGTATCGACAATTATATTGAACAATGCATTTTAAGCATGTTCTGTGCTGAATATCAATAAATTAAAAAAAATGAATCTATTGTGATCCTCCATCTATATTTTGGGATTTTTTGAACCCAAGTATGTATATGTGTGTGTGTGTGTGTGTGTGTGTGTGTGTGTGTATTACAGGGTGGCATGTGTGTGTGTGTGTTGTTGACACGTTTATAATGAAATGAATCTTCACTCATACGTACCTAGCCAGGTCGTGCACACCTCCGAGATCACCAAAGAGATTAACAGATAAAAGAGGAGATTAACAGTTCCCAATAACATTCCTGAAAATATAATGGGTTGCTGAATCATATATATATATAGAGATCAGAATCATCGTTGGATATGAAACAACAAATGAATGAAACAATGCCCATGACGCGTGCATGCATATAAATTAATTAAATAATATAAAAAGGATTGGTGAGAAAGAGAGTTGAATCCCTCTCATTCGTTAGGCCAAGGGCCCATAGGAATGGATCGTCTATGTCAGGAACCCTAACCAGGACAATGAATGACAAGTCACTCGATAAGGATCAGCTACCAAAACAAATCCAAACACTCCTAAAATCATCATCTATGAATTACCAACAACATAAACGTGCTGTCTATTTATTTCTAAAATCGAATAATATGTGTATATATATGTCATCCTCTATATATAAATAAAATTAATTAATTAATTAGTAAGTCTCAGCCCCGTTGGGACGGTGTGCTTCATCATGATCATGATTACATATCGCTCATGAAGACTCCTTATTTTGCACGTTTTAACAGCCTTTTTAGTTTGTCTTCGCATGCAGGATTTAGAGAAATTCTTATATGATATGGCAGACTTCATCATCTATGCTTTGTTTAATAAAATTATACCAATACAATTAAATAAAATTTTATATACCAATACCAATATAAAATGTTTTTTATAATAAAGTGCCTATTTAATTTTTTATAGTATAATTAATTTATATTTACATCCATCTAATGTGAAATGTGTTTATTAGACAGGACATAGATGATGTGGTATACCAAATCTGTGCAAGAATTTCTTGCGTCAATTATGGGTAAATTCAATACAGGTATACGTGGTATGTGTACTGTATAATGTTTTTGACGGTTTCTAGAAAAACCAAGGACTAATTAAAGCACAGACACTCATTATATATATATATATATATAATATTACTGGTGGTATTTGTATATTGTGAGATTTGTTTTAAATGTTCTTGGCCGGATCAGACAGAACGAGACCGTAAAAGTAAGCTTCTTCGTTGAAATTATGAGAACATGATGCTAATGGCCGATAAAGAAATTAGGTACCCACTCGATCCAAAAAAATATTATTTATTTTCTAAAGCAAACAGAAAGTGAGGTCACTTCACGTCAGATTTCAAGCCACGTCACTTCGCCAACCTCGAACGAGAATGGGTGGTTGGGCCTTACGAATCCCGGCCCATTATCCATGAAAACAAAAGATCACTTTTCAGGCCCAAGGCCTAACTTGGATTATCCGGAAATACTTTTTATCAGTTTTGCAATTTTGATATCCGAACGAAATTTCACCTTTGATTTTTTTTTCTTTAAATCAGATGTCTTAATCACGTGAGTGTTGTGGATCCTTTTATCCTTTCTTTAGTATATTTTGATTGGTTGATCAGAGAAATGAATGTAGTGGTGTTTCACATGGCTTGTAAATATGTCAACTATGATTGGCTAATCAAGAGTAAAATTTCCACGAAACCACCAACTTCATTTTCACATTGGACATTGTGTGGGTTGTTGAGGCTTTCTTTTATTAATAACTCTGATTATCTTCAAATTTAAAAGTCAATAAGTGAAAAATAGTCAATAGGTTATACTTCCGATGCACTGTTTTGTAACTTATTTTAATCCGATCCGTTACAAAATTTTCGTTAATAAATTCAATCTTTTAGCAGTGTAATCTTGCAAATAACGTGTGATTTTGATGTTACTATCTTTAATTATCTCCCCTGAGCTGTAGGGAGATTCTTCTCTCCAACATGAGTTAGTGTACTTCCACACAATTTTGTTTCGTGTCGCTTTTATTTTAAAAAAAAAAAGTCCTTGATTGGGACGAACCAAGAAAACCCCATCTCACAGATGCAAGTGGCAATTTTACCTGTCAGTGTTATGGCGATGTAATATTTTTATTGGAAAAATTGTCGTTTTTTATATATAAGGTTAAATGAAAAATTTGTCTTGAAAGCTTTTTACCAAGTGAACTAATATCATTAACTCTTGCTAAAAAAGTACAGTTTTACTTTATAATAATGTATAACTAATGTTAATCATTACATGAAAATTTTGACTAGAGATGAAAAATAACTTTTCCTTGAATGCTTTTATAAAACAAGTGGTACTAGCACAATGTATTTTGAGGTATTAATGTTCAAATTAGAAGATCAAAATCTAACAATTTATTAGCTGTATTAAAAATGGTTTGTATTTTTATATTTTCACAATAGGTCTTTTCTTAAGATTGTTTCAATATAAAATTAACTCTACCTTGAGCAAGTGTTAAGCTCTCCACTTACACATGCTTAAATATAAAAATGTTCATATTTATTTATAGGCAACATAAACTCATTTGAATTTTGATTTAGAGGAGTTCAAAGTAATTCAACTTAAAATTTTCTCCTGATTTTATGTTATAAAATTGTGAATCATTCTTTTAATTTAAAAGTTAAAAAGTTTAGAATATCAACTACTCTTTTGAACAAATTTTGAGAACAAAATTGCCATTTAACACTCAAAATAAATAGTCAATGATGGCAAAACATTATTGTGGGGTGACATGGCACCATTATTGATCCTAGTGGAAAATTTTCTAAGTAAATTTGTCCTTTAACCTTGCTTATCTATAATAAACGCAACATTTAACTATGTGAGGGTGATATGGGAAGTGGAAATAAAAATATGCAAATATGCCATATTATTGGTATTTGTATTTTTAAAGAAATGAGTAAATTTAACTAGAGCTAAACTTTAGAATTTAAATCACAAATAATTTTGATGGTAAGACTATAAGTGTTGAATGAGACGAACAAGAATGTTAAAAGTAATTATCTAACTCTCAAAAAAAAGGGAAATAATAATAAGAGAGTACAGTAGTGAACAATAATAACTTGGTTATTAATTTAAAGCTAGTTGGTAGAATATATTGACCAAGAAAAGTTTTGAAGAGTGCGATATTGGTTGGACATATTAAATATAACACAATAAGGGACAAAATAATGGACTAACAATCAAGAAATTCAATTGAATAAAACATTGTAAGAAGTAAAAAAAAAAAAACAGAGACAAAAGAAAAACTTTGGCTATGTTTGGTATCTTAGAATTCTTCATTGAGAATCAGAATTAAAAAAGGATTCTTGGATGGAGTATGTTTATTAGCCTTGATTTTTGATTCCCAAGAATCATAATTCAATCAAAAAAGTTAGAATCTAATTCTATCTTCAAGTCGATGGAGTCGGATCGATTATCATGGAATCAATCCTTGAGACCTCTTCGCCCTTAATGAAAGTTAGAACCGCACCTCAACAACTATCGTCGAACCTCCACAACCACTACTCTACCTTCATCACCTGCTATTGCTTGCACCTCTTCCATGAAATCTCCTCTACCACTTCATTCTTTTTGTCTATGGTAAGGAGCGTACTTGATGGTAGAAAAGGTGTTAGTGAGAGAGAAGATTGCGGATCAAAATTGAATGAGGGAGAAGCTAGTCTCAGTTTTTTTTAAAGGAAACTTTGGTCATTTTAATTTTAAATATATATACTTATTAAAATTATATCAAGATTCTATTTTCATATCAAAAATACTTTTAAAACTCAATTCAATTTCAATTCTTACAATTTTAATTTCAATTTTAATTCTAATTTTATTAAAAACTTTTCCATCATATCAAACGAGACCTTAAGAAAACAATTATAGTCGGTTGCTATACGTCTCCACCGAATAGAGTTAAAGGGATTTGCAGATCGAACCGTATCATTAATTGATGAATGAGGCAACCTGTGAAACTTTTGGGGACCATTTCATCTCCTACAATATTTGTCTGCACAATCACATTCGTTTGACTTCCGCTTTATACGACTAGTCAAGTTTACTACATATGACCATGAGACAGAATACATGCATGACTTGTCAATTGATTCCCTCAGTACTGCTTGAACTAGTATATATACTGAGTCGCGTGAAGCTGCTCACCGCTTATCAGCTTAATTGTCCTCTAACTAATGACTCTCTCTCTCTCTATTCCTGTTTCCTCGTGTTTTCGACCGACAATTTAATTATAGGATATTAATTATTCCTTGCTCTTGAATCAATTTTGAGTACGAAATCAGACAGCCTAACAAACTTGCAATGAGGATGAAGGCAATGGTGTTTAGCCAACAAAGAAACATAAAAGTGAAAAACGAGTAAACTAGTGCCATTTGGTGAAGGATCGGGCAACAAATCATAAGTTATGGCGTAAATTGTACATATCTTGATTGAATTGTTCTGGAAGACATGATCGTGTCTCAGAGGATTGGCCCGTACCGTTAGCCTCCTTCAGGTTCTCATATAGTGTAAGAAATCATTTGACAGTGCAAACAAGCAAGGCATGAAGAGGCAACCAATCAAACACTGGATTGGGTTCTGCTTTGCGGCTTGTATATTAATTATCAGTGCAGAGTTTTGTTACTTTACTCTTAGGTTTTGTCTATGACACAAATATAAGAGAATGTGATCCCTCAGACTCATAGCAAAAGGATTTATCTTAAAAGCGTCTCTAGTCCTATTTATAGAGTAAAGATAAAATATTTATTTAAATTTTATTTACAGAGCATCTCAATAATTATTATATTTATTTTTATCATTTTGTCCCTATTAAATATTAAAGTACTTTCTTTTAAAGTAGATGTATTTAATAAAAATAAAGTTAAAAATTTATTAAATTTTTAAACAGAATCAATGAGGTTTAATTTTTTTAAATTTTAATAAAAATATTACAAATAATTCATAAATAAGATAAAAAGAAATGTGTCTATGCTTTGCTGTGACGTGTGAACAAGAAACGAAGAAGCCCGCTTACTACAGTGTTGACCTTGCGTTTTCTTTTCACGGACGGGGGCTCGAAACTTTATGAAAAATGATGACACTGAAGAAGGCTGAGAACCAATTCAACGAACAAGAAGATTTTTGAGTAGTAAGCGTATAATATACTGTGAGAGTTGCTGATTGCAAGAAAAATCAAAAATATAATACAAAAGTGTTGGATCACACTTGATTAAGGTTGTTAAACTCATCAATTTAAGTAAACTCATGAGAGAAATGTAAACTCGTATCGTAAACTCATAAGAATTTATCTCTATTAATAAATAGTTATGAAAATATGATTGTAATTTAATTTAAATATATTAAAAATATAAATCATTCAAATTAAACCTATCTACATTGATAAATTATTATATACAAGAAATAAAAATTTTAAAACAGGGAAACTTATTTTTAATATTTTTTCTTTTTATTAATATTAGTTTTTGCATATCAAGTTTTTTTCTTTGAACTAGGTCGTATAACTTTTACAAACTGAATTTTTTATAGTATACATTTAACTCACTCAATTCAAAAAAAAAATGACAAGCTTAATAAATTTAATAAAGCTTACATCTAGTTTGAGTTTATAACTTAGTTGAGGCGGTTTTATAAGTTAAAAATATAAAAATGATAAACTCAAAGGTAAATTCGAGAGTTTAACCAAGTTTGTATTTAGTTTGAATTTATGAGTGAGTTGACACGATTTTATAAGTTAAAAATAAAAAAATTAAACTCGTAGAGTCAACTTAAGAATTTGACAACTAGACACTTGACTTTGACAGTTCACTAATATAAATAACATTACTGTTTATGGAGGCCTCATATGTAACAATTAAAAAAAATTGAATTAAGAATTTTTTCAAGTATTTCAAGTTTTATCTAAGCATAAGTGTTGAACTTTTGAACATCTTAAAAGAAATTTAATTTTGTTAAAATATTAAATTCACCAAAATTAATATTTATTTTAATTTTTTAGAATTTTTGCTACTTATCCAGCACAATTTCTATTAGGCTCACCTTTTCTCTAAAATCATAAAAAAGTTGGAGGTTTTGCTCTGAAAGATAAAATAATCATATTTGATCAATATTTTTGGAGAAGTGAATGAATATGTCAATTTTTTTATTCAAAAAACATTTAAAGATAATTTTGATATTGTGATATACAATAAACCTTCATTAGGATGCAAAAACTTTATGATTTTTTATATGACTTTGCTTGCTTGTTTCTTGATCGGTGTATTTGAGATTTGTATTAAAAAAAAAAAAAAAACCACGACTGCTTGATGAAAAAGGGAAAGCGCACACACATGTGGGGTTGGCTATAAAAAAGAAGGCACATGGAGGACGGGTCTCTTTTTGGTGCCAACGAAAAGAGGAATTTTCGAAAGCTCTCTGCAATTCCGACATGGATGTCCACTGCAGTACTGCACCTTTCTCTTCTTTCTTTCTTTTGGGCCAAGACTGCACCTTTCATGAAGGTTAGCTTAACACAATAACAACGTAATCCTCCACAAATTGCTAATGTTTTCTTACACTGCGTTGAAGGGACCCACCACACCATCTTCAATATTAATTGATTGTTAATTTATCTCTAATTAACGAGCTGTTAAAAATTGGCCCCACCATTCAACTACTCTAGACACAGATTCATCCAGGAAAAAAAAAGCACAGTTAAAATCATGATCAAATCAAACATAAAAAAATATTTTATTAAATTAGTCAATATTCACATATTTTCAAATACATTAATGCTAATTAATCCCCACTCAAGTCTTTATTTTTAACTTGACCGGGCTGATGATGGTAAAAGTCTCTTCCCAGAAGTTTCGCAAGGCTCTCACGTTAACATATATAATAAGAGGCCAACTTAATCAGACAAATTAAGAGTCAACATGGCCTCATTTTAATTTTAATTTTTGTTTGATGCTTGAATTTGAATTTGAAGTTTGTTTATTGTTTATTTATTTAAATATCAGCTATCGTCAGGAAATTGAGCACGAAACAAAAACATATGACCACGAACATTGAAAGAGACCTTTCCATATTCACTAAACAAACCGGTCCAAATTCAGACTGCGATGCATTGTACGATATTTATTAGGTATTGGTCATGAAAAGTTGAAACTGCTTTAATTGAATGGATGATAGTGTGTTTGTTTTTGAATTATGATGGAATAACAAAAAATATACCTTCAATAAAGCCGTCAAAACATTTAAAATTACACGTTTTTTTATATTTATTTTTATTTAATAAAGTGTCTTAATTAAAAAATCTATTAATTATCTCCTTTAATTAAGAATTTTTTTAAAAAAATTATAAAATACTTATTGAAAAATTAAAAATACATTATATTTTTTAGTATGGTATCTTTTTAAAATCTATTTTTCACTTAACAAAGTCAAAATTCAAAGTTAGAGAGTGGGGCTGTGATGCATCAAAATCCGGAGGGCGTGCTTTGTTGTTTTATGGAGAACAACTGTAAAACGGGTGAAGGAATTCAAAAAGCGCCTTTGCTTTTGCTTTTGCTTGTTTAATCATATATCTCCCAACTAAACATTTGATTAATTAAGTTAAGAAATAATTGATTAGTCAAGCTCACGGGGCTTAAGCCAAAACCTAATGACATCACGATCCCCCAAATTAATATCAAGCTTCCGTCATAATCACCTAAAAAAGTGAAATTAAAGGAGGATGAAAGAACAGAGTGAACACTACAGGCCGAAAGTAACAAGCCATAATTGATTATTAAACCCCACCTTGCCCATTTTTTCAAGCAAGATAACATAGTATATCTTAAGACTCCACAAGTTTCAAATGATAATTCCCATGTACATGTTTTTAAATTTAATTTTTTATATTTTCTATATAGACGTTTTTAAATTTTTATCATGTGCCATATATCTTCAAACTTAAAAAAAAAAAAAACATATCCCGTCAAGCATGTTTCAAATATATAAGTACTAGGATTTACGCCCTCATGGGTTCCCAAAAAACATTTGGGATTAACTTGTTGGTGTATGATTCGACTCAAATTAAAATATAAACCAAGTAATTAGAATATAAACATCTTTGAATTTACCATGGGGTAACTCAAAGTCAAGGTTGACTATCCGAGGAAATGTTGGGCCATTTAATTTGGGCAAGCATGGATGATAACAATACAATACTGTGTGGGTAATATCCGGAATTCAAATATTTTTTAATGAATAATGAAATTTGTTTGCGCTATTCATTTAGTTTTTAGATGAAATTTTTATATTTATTAATCACATCATTAGAATTTTATAACTATGCATAATTAATCTTTTTTAAGTATCTACAGGCATCTTTTTAGCAGAGATAATTTTATTTAAGGCAAGATTGAATATTAAATGTGATCACATCTGTTATGAAAGATTTAAATATTAATTCACTATATTGTGAGGAATTAATTTTTTTTATTAGACCCAACTTTTAGTTACACAGCTAGTCTTTGTGATATTTGTTTTCCCTCTCCTTTAAGCAAAAAGAACTAATTGTATATGATTTTGAAACATTAGGAATGTAATTAATAAATATTAAATTTCAAGAATCAAAATTAATAACTGAAATAAATTTTAAAAATGTAAATAAATATCCATATTGTTGTTTAATTAAGAGATTGTAATTTTTAATTAGAGTGCGTGTTCATGTTCTTTATATTTTATATTGATGCTATATTGTGTTGATAAACATTTATTTTTAATTTCAAGACCATGCAATATTTATTTTATTTTTCGGTTGATGAAATTCACGGGAAGTTTTAACGGCCTGAGCCTGAGACAGAAATGTACATCTAGTTACCCCAAATGCAATGATTAGCAGAGAAAATCCAAAAGGTGCTCCGCCTCTGTGACGCTAATTCCTCACTCACTCAGAGGCGGTCGCATGAAGCCAAGAGGCCACCAAAAAAATTCGAAAATAAAATAAAATAATTTAATTTTTCTCACCCAAAAGTGCATTAACCGCCTTTCTGTCCTTCAAATTGAAAAAAAAATAAAGCATCAATCAATCACACTAAAAGCCCTGGCTTTCCAGCTTCATATGTTGAAGTTTCGTTGTCACAGTTCCTTCATCAAAATCCATTTTTGGGACTTTAGTTACACGTAGCTAAGCTCTCTTTCAATCCAAGTTTATTCCGTTTCTGCGTTATCTTCAGACACCAGTCTACTGTCACGCTCAAAATTTGGCCTCTTTTTTTCCTATCACTCCCTCTCACCAGGTGATTCTTTCTACTGGTAGTTGCCGATTCTTGAATTTAAACTCTTTCCCATTGTTTTACTCTCTCTTTCTTTTTCATTCTTTTCTCCTCACACGTTTTCTTTCTTCCTCTGTATACCATCAAATCCAAACATTTCAGTAGTACAACATCTCAAGCTCGTGTACTTTATTTTCTTCCATAAATCTCAACAACTTGGATTCTACTCTTCTTGGGAAGAGCCCCATTCCGGAATTCTTCTGTCTTTCTACTTAAAGAGTAGTGGCTGACACAGTGTGGAAGGGCTTTTGGAGAATATGAAGTTATGCGCTTCACTGTTGTTTCTCAGTCTAGTTTCCATGGTCTCTTTCGTGACTTGTGATCCTGTGCCTTCAATTGAAGGTATGTTTCCTCTAAAGAATCACGTTCGCTAACAGATCTCGATTATTCAGTTGTTCTAGCGTCTGCTGGGCTGCTTTAAAGACAGGATCAGAATTGTTAATCTGCCTTTTGTTTTGTTGAACGCTATAAGTTTCTTCTTTAGTTATATGTCAAGTGTCGTGAAATGCGAGATTAAGAATTTTTGTTTTCTTCTCATTCAAATTGTCATGTTGTCTTGGCTACTAAATGGAACCACCAAACCGTGGTATTCCCTGATGTTTTCGTTAAGAGAATTATTTTCTGCAGTCACTTGCCTAAAATCGCAGTACAGAAAGTTTCATTGACACTAAAATTTGTCTGCTCACAGTTTGGGCGCTCACAACCTTCAAAGAGGCCGTATATGAAGACCCATACCTAGTTCTGTCCAACTGGAATACGCTGGATTCAGATCCTTGTGAATGGTTTGGCGTTTCCTGCTCTGAAGATCGAGATCATATCATTAAGCTGTAAGATACAATTCCTCCATCCAAATGCTTCCCTCGAGTGTCATGCTTTTTTGACAGATTAGGCTCCTTCTTTGCAGCAATATTTCGGGGTCATCGCTAAGAGGATTTCTAGCGCCAGAATTGGGACAAATTACCTACTTGCAAGAACTGTATGCTCAATGTTTTTCCTTTTCACATGTCAACCTAATAGCCTATCTTTTGATCATTGCTATTGCCATGTGTCATAGTTGAGATATCTGATGACTGAAGCTTAGTTCTGGTTCTTATCGCTGTAGGATTTTGCATGGCAACAATCTGATTGGAACAATACCTAAAGAATTGTTCGCGTTGAATTCCCTCAAGGTCTTGGATTTGGGGAAGAATCAATTATCTGGACCAATTCCTCCCGAGATTGGAAATCTAGCACAAGTTGTTAAAATGTAAATAAATAGATTCAATATGCTTCTCCTGAATGGAGAAAATTGTTGACTCTTAAAGAGCGTTGTCATTTGACTTATACTTGTTCTAACCTTTTTTCGTCCTCTTCTAGAAACCTGCAGTCCAACGGGTTGACTGGTAGTCTACCTCCAGCGCTTGGAAATTTGAGATACCTTCAAGAACTTAGGCTGGACAGGAATAAACTTCAAGGGCCAGTTCCTGCTGGTGGCAGTTCAAACTTTTCTTCAAATATGCGTGGAATGTGAGTTAAATTGCCGTCCTTGCATTGGTCAAGTTTGCTTAGGTGTTACAGGATTCGTTACCCTTACATGATTCTGTTATCATCTGCTTCACAAAACTTTCCTTTCTATCATTGTGAGCTATGTAATGCAGGCCTTTTTATGTCTGTCGTAGATACCCATATATCATAGTCAAATGGTGCTGGTCTTTAGTCATTTGGCTAATCAGGCAATTGGTTTAATTTGAAAGAGATAGCATGTAATTATTGTTCGTTAATTGTCAGATATGTTCAATTAAAGTAAAAAATTTGGTTTTGGTTTTCCAATTTTCTCCGTTCCAGTGTGCTTCAAAGTCAATAGGAAGATTTTGTTATTTCTTCCATCATATGAAGGAAATAATTTGGTTGCATGTCATGGTTATTGGATGGGATAACTTATTACTGGTAAGTCAAATGCTAGATAGTCAGTATATGGTTTGGGAAATTTTGATCACCTCGGACATTATAATTATGCTTGTAATCGTTAGTATAAAACATAGGCAAGCTCAAAACTCAACAGTAAGAATAGGATACCAATTTCCTTGAATTAAAGTTTGGATTTTATTAATGTCTCTTATAGTTTCTATTATTTCTTCAGGTATGCCTCAAATGCAAATTTAACTGGTCTCTGTCAATCATCTCGGTTAAAAGTTGCAGATTTTTCATATAACTTCTTTGTAGGTGGTATACCTGCTTGCCTGGAGTATCTACCTAGGTATTTTTTCAATACTCTTGTCATAGAGGTATTTTGCTTAAAAGTCAAAACACCATATTTAGATCACATATGCTCTGCCATACAGGTCGAGCTTTCAAGGGAATTGCTTCCAAGGCAAAGAATTAAAGCAGCGTTCTGCTTTGAAATGTGGTATGTGAGACATGGCTTTCCCATCATTTAAGCACCATGGAGAGAATTAGTGCGTCTCTTCATGATATCCCATAATTTGCTCAGTTCTTATTTTAAAAATGACAGCTTTCTCCGGGTTTATACTCCTCTTTCACATTCTAACCTGGTTTTGAGGATATTTCTTGTGATAGTTTCAAATTTAATGTGAATCTTTTTTCACCTACTCTCCACTTGAACAGATTATTAGCGGATATAGTCTTCACCTGAACTTGCTCCTTACTGACTTTATATGTAATAATTAACTTTAATCTTATAGCTGGTGCTTCACCTGCCAAGAGCCATCCTGTGGCCAATCCAAAGTATCGACCTGCCGAATATGTGTCCAAGCATCGAGCATCCCAACCTGCCTGGCTTTTGGTTCTGGAAATAGCGACAGGAACCTTGGTTGGTTCTCTCTTTCTGGTTGCAGTTCTCGCTGCTCTTCTTAAATGTAACAACAAATCATCTATCATTTGGCCTTGGAAGAAATATGCAAGCCGGAAGGACCATATGACAGTATACATAGGTTTGGTTTCTTTGCTTTCCACTGCCTCTGCCTAATTACTTTTAGAGGTTCTTGGGCCGTATTCAACACATGATTGGCAATATTAATGTACAGACTCTGAGATGCTGAAGGATGTGACGAGTTACAGCAGACAAGAGCTTGAAGTGGCATGTGAAGACTTCAGCAACATAATTGGGTCCTCACCAGACAGTGTAGTCTACAAGGGCACCTTGAAAGGTGGGCCTGAGATTGCTGTAATTTCTCTCTGTGTTAAGGAGGAGCATTGGACAGGATATCTTGAACTCTATTTTCAGAGAGAGGTAATTGGAAATATTGTGTAGCCTATAGCATGTAGGAATTGCAAGACTAATAATCGTACAGAAGTCTTTTATTAATCATAGCATCAATGCCATTTAGGTGGCAGACTTGGCAAGATTGAATCATGAGAACACTGGAAAACTTCTGGGATACTGTAGAGTGAGCTCTCCATTCACAAGGATGCTGGTTTTTGAGTATGCTTCAAATGGAACACTTCATGAGCACTTACATTGTAAGTCAAGCTTGTTATCTCGTGTGTGTGTGTGTGTGTGTGTGTGTTCTCATGTGCTCATTTCCTTGAACATGCAATTAAACTGTGCAGATGGAGAAGGGAGCCAGTTATCATGGACTCGGCGTATGAGAATCATTATTGGCATTGCTCGTGGACTGAAGTATCTACACACAGAAGTTGACCCGCCATTCACTATATCAGAGCTGAATTCAAGTGCTGTATACCTTACAGAAGATTTTTCCCCTACGGTGAGCCTGCAAGCTAGTTTAAATTTTCTAGCCTATCTATTACGATTCTGCTAAGTCTCTTAGTGCACTCCGGAATGATTAGAACTAGAGTCATTCCAAAAAGGCTCTTGAATATTCTCATTGTAGAAAAAATAAATTTGCAGCTGGTTGATTTTGAGAGTTGGAAGACAATACTTGAAAGGTCAGAAAAGAATTCTGAATCTGTTGGAAGCCAAGGTGCTGTTTGTGTTCTTCCACATTCCCTCGAGGCTCGCCATCATGATCCCCAGGGAAATGTATATGCTTTTGGCATACTTCTGCTGGAGATAATAAGCGGGAGACCTCCATACTGCAAAAATAAAGGGTCCTTGGTGGATTGGGTAGGATATTTCTTGAAATTTAAAACTGAACAGTGATTATGATAATGAATATATGTTAATGCCAAATGTTCTTTTATCTGGTGCAGGCCAAGGAGTATCTAGAAATGCCAGAGGTAATGTCATATGTGGTGGATCCAGAGTTGAAACATTTCAGATACGAGGACCTTACAGTAATATGCGAGGTAGTAAATCTTTGTATCAATCCAGACCCCACCAAGCGTCCATCCATGACAGAACTATGCTGTATGCTGGAGAGCAGGATTGACACATCAATGAGTGTGGAGTTCAAGTCTTCATCTCTGGCTTGGGCTGAACTTGCACTTTCCTCCTAAATGATTCTTTAACACTAACATACGCTACAGCAATATACAAAACTGATACTTCTTACCCTACAGCATCTCGTTGTATAGCGTTGGCACACTGGCAGATTAGTAGAACAAGTGCACTAATAAGCGTTCCCCTTTGTGTATTCTGTAGAGCACTTACGGATTGGGAAGGCTTTACGTCTAACTTCCCTTTACTTTGGAGTTTTAAGATGGAGTATGGGATAAAGGAGATTTACCGAGATGGAGCATTGGAAAATATCTCGTTTGCCACTGCTTGTATGATTAACACAGTATAAAATTGGCACGGTGTATATATGGTGCATCACTTGAAATGCAAATCTTTTTGTTTCTTCTAATACTGTATTTGACATCTCGATCAATATTGGCGGGTGAACATGACTTGTAAAAGGAAATCAAAGGAAAAGCCGAAGAGGTTTCTTTCGATTAGCCGTTTATTTTATTCTTGAAAGTTTTATAAGATGCCCTTGAATAAAATGCTGAACGCAGTCATACACAAGATGACTGCACATTCTTTCAACTCCTTTTTTTTAATTACTATTTATGACTTAGACGTGCGAAATTTGAATCATTAGTGTTGACTTATTAATGGGTAGTGTGAGAACCAAATTGATTCACTGGCAAAGTTGAGTCCTATTTGCCTGCTGCATACTTGCATAGGCACCATGAAGCACGATGCTATGTTGCAGACAAACACACAGGATGGGGGAGTGGACCCCACCGGGTCCCATCTTGCGTGTCAGTCTGTTGTGCAGGGCTGTGCAGTACAATGCTGCGCAGCAAATAATAAAGACACAACAAACTTGGTCTCTATTGTGAGTCATTGAGCGTTGACTCTTCAATGTTCAGATGCTAGTATGGATGCGACATTGATTTTATTATTCATTTCATATAATTTTAAACAATCATGTCTCTTTCAAAGATTTAGAAATCAAGTTATGGGCTGTTGAAGTCGGGATTAAAGAAAAAATGGATGAAGTTGGGTGTTACAAGTATAAAATCAGTGGTGGACTAGAGCTTATATTCTGTCTAGTTTCCAAGAAGGGGAAAAAGGAACTAAATGAAAAAATATATATAACAGCAATTGAGCATTCTGCAGTCGGTATTACACAACAAATGCAGAGCAAGGGAAAAAAAAAGTGGTTAGACTGGCAACACGGATTGGAAAATAAAGTGTCCGAGACATAAATTTCCTCTACATGAAAGCAAACTTACACAATGGATGCTACTAGAATGAGAACTAGCCATGGATGATGGATGGCTCTTCAAACCAAAAAAGAACACAGCATAAATGAACGAGGAAGACTGAAGCATTCTGATGATAGTACAAGCCGTTTGGATTGTTGAATCCAATCTGTAACAGGCAAATAATAATAAGACGGCCCCAAAAGTCAAAGTTAATCATTTGATATTATTTTTTGTTTAAGGGTGAAGGAGAGCTGCATGTATATCAGAAGGCCCTCTCTTTCACAATGTCCATGCTCATCTCACTCGGATCTGTTGCTTGCAATTCAAATGCAATGCCGTCCAGCTCTCTCTTGAATCTGTCCTTTGAACTTGCATACACCATCTTCATCCTCACTTTTGATGTATCCGGTGACCTATATAATCCATTGACAACCACTGATTCACACTCTTTTAATAGATGTCCTAAACTATTGAATTCCTCAACTCAATTATTGTTGAGATTTCCAAAGGTTTTTCTCAATTTAGTTTGATTCTCAATTTCAAATATCAGGAATTGAATAATGAAGAGCCTTCATCTGTGTAGGATCAGAACTATCTTAACAATGATTGAGTTGAAAGGCATTTATGAGATGAGTTAAACGAAAGTAAGACAATACAGTTAGCAGATCATAAAGGTTCAAAAAATACCATGCAATGAAGAAAATCTTGCTTTTCTGGACATTCTCTTCAGTTGTGAAATCAAAATCAAAGACGGCATAGCGACACTCATCAGCTGGCAAACTGGCTGCAAAGTCATTGTAGCTTTGAGTTGAGCCTCCTAATTTATCAATCACCACTTCTTGTTGCTCAATTTTGAACACTATGAATCGGTAAGTCCTTCTTGCTTTTAGCTCCTGAAATCTCAATTTGCACTCATCGCTTACGGCCATTCCCGACGCTGCGTTTGCCTACCTCAACAATTTCAGAATCGAGAGGGGAAGAAACACAATTTCAGAATTTATATGGTACCAACTCTCATTATTTGCTTTTACTCATGTATCCTCATCACATTAATTAATCTTATTTGTTAATATTCTCCCACGCATCAACTTATTTGAATCTGAGAATTAAGTTGATATACGTTCAGACTTCATTCTAATTCATGTGATGTTAATCACCCATTTATCACAGACATGACTCTGGTGTGCGTATGAGCGTTTTCTATGGTTGAAGGATTCAAATTTTGGAAAAGACTCGAGGATTTGACTTCCAATTACACTCAAAATCAAATTATGAAGACTCAAGGATTTTCTATGAGATGCCTTAGATCGTGAATATTCTTCAGAAGAATCTGAGAAAACAGGTATAAAGATTGCAATGCCATGGTCCTAAAGAAGATGAAACATAGAAAGCATACCATTTTGCCAGCAATGAGGAAGAAGAGCCCTGCGAAATGTGAATGAAATGAAAAATGAATAAAGAAAGGGAGGGAGGAATAGAGAATGGAAAGTGGGAGCAATAGATTCAATGAAAACTATGGAGACAAAATAACAAATGGCGGTCCTTGCTTTTAGGAGCCATGAGAGGTGGAAGTGGAACTTTGAAAACAAACACATGATGCTTTCAAAATAGAAGTTGAGGGAGAAATTAAAGGGGTAGGTTAGTAGGCATCTCCTTGTCTATTTTCCCCCATTAGCATTAACGTGTCAACTGTATATATGTTCATTTTTACGCTTCCCTCGTTAATTTGATAATTTCTATTTCCACATTAATATGTCTAAAAAACGGCAGAAGCGGAGTCCCTTAAAAACCTTCCTATTTCTATCTAATTAAATGTCTTTCCGGGAAGTCCCACGAGCTTAGAAAGATGATGTCTGATGATTAAAGACTGAAAATTATTACATAATACAAAAATTATTTGTTAATTCATGAGGAATTGTGAATATACATATGAATACATTTTAGATATAAGCATGTCGAAACACTCACCTCAATTAAACGATAATGAGCGGCGTCAATTTATTCACAATTTTTTTTTTTTTTTGGTATTTTACTTTGCATTCTAATGTGCGTGTATCAGTAATCATTTTACAACGGGATCACAAAGAAAGAACCCTAGGTAAAGTTATTCCCAAAGTCGCACAAAGTATTTAAGCATTAAGGTTCTAAAGAAGGTTTTATATTTTTACCTAGATGACGCAATTCCTGACAAGAAAATTAACCCAACAAGTTTAGCATTTGACTTCAGCACGGCAGAACTGAATAAACGAGTTTTCCAGAAAGAAAAACTTCTAACAAATCTTAAATCCATGGTAAGGTATTGTTAAATAAATAAGTTAATTTTCATTTCTCCAAAGATTTCCAAAGCATGCCAAGATCAACATTTCCCCCCGAAATTACAATTCCTACATGTTTGCAGTCCTTCCAAGCAGGATTTTTCTGGAAGGCATCCGATAGAACAGCAGCAAGGCCAATCGCTCCACTTGGTTCAACGACAACCTTAAGAATCTCAAAACAAAGTTTCATGGCTTTTACTATTTCACTGTCTTCCACAGTTATAACGTCTTCAACAAGATCTCGTACTACAGGCCTACTCCATCATAAAATGTAAATGAAAGTTATAAGAAAAATAAGTAAATGACCAAAGGAGTTGGAATAATTGATTAGTGAAGCAAAATGGGTTTAAGATCAAAACCACGAAATGGATGTTATACACATTCATGTTCCATTCCCTTCTCACCAGAATAAGTACTGTATCCACAATGGTGAGTAAACTGAAAACCCTATTTTCCCGCGCATAATCGTGATTAGTAGAGATTTGCCTTTATTACCATGTTAAATCTCCAAGAAAAGCTCTAAGCCCATCAGCTATAGTATTGGTTTCAGGCAATGTGATTATCCTCCCGGCTGCTTTAGATTGTGCAGCGTCATCAGCCCCCTTAGGTTCAGCAGCTAAAATACGTATAGCAGGGTTGATGGACTTGGCAGCCAATGCTACTCCTGATATCAGACCACCACCTACAGTTTTCTCTTGTTAGGAAACCAAAATAGCATGAAATTAATGCTGAGTTAAATACGATTTTGAGACACACCACTAATGGGAACTACTAGTGTGTCTATTTGTGGAGCTTGTTCCAGTAACTCCAATGATATGGTGCCCTGGCCGCTGCAAGAACAATCAAACAACGTCAAAGTGCAATGATGAGGAAGGATAGATTCCAAGTTATCCCCATAGCATATGCATTTGTCAGATTTCAAGTTTGAAGTTGTGTAAACCAGACACTGAGAATAATACTAATGCATAAGATCTCCTAGCTAAGCAATCAAATCAGAAGGAAAAGGGAAAAAATCGCAATCAGCAAGAAAGAGTAAAGAGTATATTCAGAAGTACATTTTACATGAATGAGAATGAGACCACCTCTATTCTGTCTACAGAAATGAACCCCGTTTCCCAGCCTTATCGCCAAGAAAATGAAATACCCTTACTTCTCCAAGCACCCATTACAATAAATCTGGTAAGTGAATTGCTAGGAAAATAATGCCTTTAACCCTGGTTTCCCCTCAAAAGAGTTACCTAGCAAGAACTTCAATCATAGACATAACCCATCATTTACCTCAAAATACGTCCATCATTATATGGATGTATAAAAATAGCACCAGTCTCTTGCCACACTTTGTTTGCAATTTCCTCCCTGGACCTCATAGAGGCTTCAGACCAGATAACTTGACCACCATAACGCTTTACATTCTCAACCTTGCAAGTTGGAGCACCTTTTGGAATAACAATATACGCAGGGATCCCCCTTAGCTTTGCCGCCAAAGCCAATGCTGCAGCATGGTTACCACTAATTTTGGAGAATGTGATCAACAGGACCTCACAAAATCTGTTAACATGTCAAATTCTGAAATAACTAAACATAGCAAACCTGCTGTGTGTTGTGACCCCTTTGGAAGCATCAGTATCATCAAGAGAGAAAACAGCATTGCAGGCACCTCTAAATTTAAATGCTCCACTGGTAGCCATAAAAACATAGAAGGAAATGAATTATTGTCTTATCTTCTTTTCTTTTCTTTTCTTTCTTTCTTTTCGTTTCATTTCTTTTTTTTTTTGGGGTTTATTAATTGCAAACTCAAAATTGAACGGAAAGAACACGAACTCCAGAAAGAAAAGACTTATAGAAAATGTCATCCTAAAATTTTTGCAATGGATCACAACTTAACATCTCACCCCTTCTGGAAACATTCACACTTAAAGTACAGCTGCCTTCCTGAAATAGCATTCAGAGATTCAGAGGAAAGAACCGGTGTTTTATGAACCAATGATTTTAGTCGGGCATGTGCTTCCTTTATGGAGGAAATATCAGCAGCATATTTTTCCTTTCTCGATTGGCTATCTGCTTCCATCTAAGCAATAAGTCTTAGAAATACACAGTGACAGACCAAAAATAATTTAGTAATATGTCCTATAATCATAAAAAAAATCCTAAAATATTTATAGCATGTAAAAGAAAGGTACACGCTTCGGCACTCATGAAGCCTTTAGTATGTTTGGAATGAGCGGATTTTATCACAGTAATCGCACTCATGAGATTTTTACCATGCTTGGAATAAGCGAATTTCATATATGCATAGACTACGAAACATACAATTGCATTTTCTCAACTGAAGGACAAAATGTCGAACTACAACAAGTTGAAGTTGGTGAGCATAAAGACTGATGAAACTGTTAGAATGTAGAAAAAGCCGTTACTCGACAGAGTAAAATCTAAGGGAAGAAAGCATAGAGATGAAGTTCATAATCATAACAAGAAAAATCACGAAGCTACTCATTCAACAGATTGGAACGCGATTTTAATTGACATTGGTAGAAAATGCATGAACTAATGTTCTAACCCATTAAATTGGCACATAACGGAGTTTGCGTATGCTATAACAGTCTAACATATATAATGCGCCGTGAAGTTAATAGGATAGTCAGAAATCAGAGAATACGACCAAGGTCAAATCCAAGCATCTGCCTGTGAGATAAGCCCTATCACTTCCTCATTCCTTTAGAATATAAGATTGTTGGCATTCAGGAGAAATCAAAAGCACTTAAGAACCTTCAAAGTACTAAAAATATCTGCCGAGAGTTTTCCTCAACTCACTCAATCCAATTAATCGGCGAATCTGATAGCCTGTGTGTTCGAGTGGGGATGCAGCTAATTCCCGCAGCACGACACAGCTCTCGCTGGGACCGCCGGGACCTGCTCTTGCTCCGGTATCTGGCGACGTTATTCATTCATTCATTTACTTACTTATTTGATTTTTTTATTGGCCAGATCCAGATGAAATTATTAATTGAGGCAAATGGAAAGTTTTGTTTTTTTCTTTTCTTTTTTTAAAAAAATTACCTAAAAAATACCTCACCACAAATTTATTTGCCAAGAAAAACTTGGGTCAAATTTTAAAATCAGGTCCTTCTCTGGCATTAAATGAGACTCCCATTATGGTCATTTTGCCTTTATGAGAATTAAAAAAAAAAAAAACAAAACAAAACGCAAACGACTCCTCTCATGCATGCGGTCGATTGCTTATCTATTGAAGCTCATTACAACCAAGTCGGTGGTAGCAATAGTGGTTGTTGCCGGCGAAGTGGAAGAGTATTTAGGCAAGTATAGCAATGCATTAACAACAACATCGATGAACCATCTTAGGCTACAATGTTGGAAACTCGTTGCTGGCTTTGGTAAGTTTGCCCTTGTTTATTTGAACAATCCTATTGCTTTTCGGATTTTTGAGTGACATTTCTTCTCCCATTTTGAATGTAGTAGGTTTGGTTAGTCTTTATTAAAGTACATAATGGTGAAAGAGAAAGATCTAAAAAAAGGAAAGTCTAAGATGACTAGTTTGTACAAGTTTAAGTAGGATTTTTAGGTGGATAAAAAAGGTAAATAGATGTTTAAAGAGATGGTAGAGGCAAACAAATGTGCAAGGGAAGCCTAAAAAAATTTGTCTGCAAAAAAAAGGAGTGAGTATGGTAGGATTGCAAAAGAAGAAAGACAAAGGGCAATGAGGTAGCTCCTCAAGCAAAGAAATGGAATTGCTATCAAGGTGCTCCCTAAAATAATTTGTGAAAGTGATAGTTCTTGTAAGGAATAATCAACAGTTGAAGATTAGGGTAGATAAAATTGAGTTTAATAAGATCTAGATGTTAAGTGTAGTAAAATTATACCATGCTTTATGTGTTGAAATTATTAAAACGATTGACCTAACAACTCATCAATTTTCATTAGAAATGTAAGCTTGGTGACAAATGATATGCTAGTTAGAATGTTAATGGGATTTCCCTGTACAGGGGTAAGTTATTGAGGAAGTGACAACTAGTAACAATGACTTATATTTAGAGTTTGAGAAAGTTTGATAGAAAAATGTTTAGTGACTTAAAGAGCATGCTCATGTCAAGGGAGCATAATGAAATATTCAAATTATTGTTTGTAATTTTGGGTGCTATTGTACCCTCCTTATTAGGAATTGTCACGCAACAGTTATTAAAGATGATATGTTGAGATAGAAGCACGTTAGGTTTATATAACAGAATACTTTAAAAAGAGGAAAAATAGAAAAATTTTTTGGTGGATGCTTTTTTTTTTATGGTAAGAATTTAAAATTGTGTATTTTATTTTAAACTTTGTCTTAATTTAGTTGGTTAGTCATGTTAACTCATCTATTTTCATGCAGATATTGTTATTTGAGAAGTTTTTATTGCTTGGTGTTGTGCCACCATCACGAGATCAACTACTTATATATTAGGATGATGAGAAAGTGAACACGATAGTTAAGTTGGGAAGTCTAATGTGTAAGGGCGTCTTTGCTCTTCTGTTGGTACAACTCCAAACGTGAAAGTCAATATGGCTTACCTAATAATACTTCCAATCATGATATTTGATACTTTAGTGAGTAAAGGAATTTATTCATGCATAATGAGAATGCTTGGTCATGGTCTTGTAATAGAACTTTTGAAAATTGAACAAGAAGGGAAATTGTGGGGAGCAGAACCATTAAGGGAGAGATAAGGATAAACACAAACTAAAACAAAATGGCATGTTGTAAGGTATGTGGTTAAGGGATTATTATTTGATATAACGGAGGAAGATATTATGGACATGGATATGGATATGGGAGAGAAGGGTATGTCTGAGCATAGAAATGATGCTGAAACAAATAATATAGACTTGAAACTAATGGGAAATACTAATGAAATTAATTAATATAGACTCAAAACTAGTGGTTGATGTTAAATAACTAATTCCTTTTGTTGATGACAATGCTAAAAGTGCAAAAGGAAATGATTCTGATGAAGTCAATAATGATGATCATGAGTTTATGAGGTCTTAAAGGATGATAAAACTTGCAATACAATCATCCTTTTTAACAACATTTGGGAAGGGAGCCAGGCCTAGTGAGGTAGAACGCCTTTATCACCTAATAACCCAATGAAGAAATAATGATTTCATAAAGGAGAAACTCATTGAGATTGCTTTATTCTTTATTACAATCGAGAAAATGCAATGCTTATGTCTAAGAGACTAGTTAAGTGACATTGTAAGTAATAATAAAATTTAGATCTGCTTAAGTCTTACATGTATTGTGAAATGCTAATGTGTAATCTCTATTGTAGGTTATATGTTTTGTAGACCACGTGCTAATACATAAACAAAAGCAAAATAAAGATGTTCAATGACATATTTTCCCATCAAAGACTTGAACACTTGTGTAATCCATTTTGCATGACTACTAATTGTGATATGTTGCCATTGTGAATAGGCTATTATGTTGCAAGATATAGACAATTGGAAAGTTATTGACAACAATAAATATATGAGGCCAAAAAAAGAAAAATACAACATAGATGATTGTGACTTCATATTTGCTTCGGTGAAAAAAGAAAGCATTGATACTACCATGTTTTTGTCAAGAAGGAGTTTACAGTCTACCTTTTGGATTCATTACTACCTAAGAGTAGTGATTCATTATTTGATGTTATATTCTATGAGAAAATGGAGATTGAAAAGTAAGTGGCTAAAAACTTTTGTAAACTTCTTGCGTATGTAAAGCTTGAACTATATGGAGATAAACCTGACATTGCTTTCCAATTTGCACTTGTCCCATGACAAGACAATGGGTGAGTTGAAATAGTTTAAACATATGTAGGTTGTATATTCATTAATTATTGACCTTTCCTTTGATTCTTATAGGTTTAACTGTGCATATATGTCATATCATAGTTGCAAGGATAGGAAATTTTAATAAATCTAGAACGAAACATCTTAACAATCCCTATCAAGGACATAATAAAGAAGATGGTAGAAGTGTTTTAATGGCTTGTCACTCATGTTGAAAACAAATTATAAGATAAGATGCTGACATTACTTCCATCATGGCAAGGAACTAAGAATAGAAAATAGATTAAGAGTATCGTTCATTATTTTTGTAAACCTTAAGATTATATTAGGTGTATGAACTTTTTGTGCTATTGTTAGAAGAATTTTAGGATACATCAATTGAATTTTCAAATACATGTTTTATATTCAGGTGTTATTTTGCTTGAATGTTTAGTTATATTCAATTTTGAGTTACTGATATCCTGAAATGATAATGTTACTTAGTGAAAATATTCAAATATACAAACTTAATATTCGGATAATTAATGATAAACTGAGAATGTTTCAATTGGTTTGCTTCCATATATTCAAATAATAACATGTGGTATCCTAAAAATGGACGTGTCCAAGGCTTTCTATCTATCTCTTATTCGAATATCCTTCACTCATATTCTGAAAATTATTGAGTTAGAGGCTCTATATCCCCTTAATATTTGAATACAATTAATGCATATTGTGAAAATTATCGAGCCTTAAGCTCTGTATCAGTTACTAAAACTCTCATATTCAAATATCCCTAATGCATATCCTGAAAATGGCCATCTTAAAGTCTTTGTATCAATCACTAACCCTCTATTATTTGAATAAGACAGTTTGTTATCTTGAAAATTGTTAACTTTGGTGCATTATGGAAGACTAGAAGCAAGGATTTTCCATAATATGCAAATATTCTTTCATTATATGTATTAAAAATTTAAATATATACAAGAAAACTTTCATTTATTCAAATAGAAGCTACAAATATTTTCAAAATTTCTAATTTGAATGCATTTTAGAAGGCTAGATGCAAGAGTCTTCAGTCATACACAACTACTCTTTCACACTATGCATTTGGACTTCATTTATACACAAGGAATCATCCATATATTCGAATAACAACTTTTAATATTTTAAAATTTTTTAACTTTGATGCATTCCAGAAGACTAGTAGTAGGGATCTTCAGTCATACACAACTACTCTTCCATGATATGCATTCAGACTTCGTCTTTATGTAAGGAACCTTCCATTTATTTGAATAACAAGTTCTGATATTCTAAATTTTTTTGACTTGGATGCATTCTAGAAGACTAAAAGCAAGGGTCTTCAGTCAAATACATCTGCTCTTCCATGATATATATTTAGGCTTTAACGATATGCAAGAAAACTTTTAATTATTTAAATAACCAAATGAGATATTTTGAAAATTTTTAACTTAGATTCATTTTAGAACATTAAAAGCAACAGTCTTCAGTCATATATAGCTACTCTTTGTAAAGTCTCACTATACTAAACATCATTAATCAATAAAACTCATGGTAATTAAAAGATTTATCCAAAAAGGTGATTACTAAGTTTTAGTTTAAAATCAAGAGATCCCAAGTTTTCTTAACCAAATTGAGTTTAAAACAATCATAAACTCTTATATCATAGTAAAAATAAGTTATGAAAGTATGTGATACCTCAAAAAAGTAAAAGAAATTGTAAACGATTGAAAAACAACTCATGTGCTATGAAATAAGGTAATTCGTCGTGGCTCATGTATGTTGTGCCACGGTGTGTTGCTCTCTATGCCATACGCCGTGGCTTAGGCGCCATGCGCTGTTGCGTGTTGCATGAAATATCAGCACATTCTGCTGTCATTTGATAATAGAATCGAAGAACTTTTGACACATCTTGATTCTCCGTCTGATGTTCGAATGATGTGATTTAAGTATCTACGAAAATCTCTTTACATGAACTAACAAATGGCACACGTTTCACTTCTAAAACAAGTCACACTATGAATTTAGATACCCAAATATAATTTGATCACTTTTTATAACTTTTATACAAAAAAGGTGTCCAAAACCCACAATAAGTGCCAAAAGCTTTTCC